TAGATATCTATTTTCACTGATTCAAGAGCGGAATGGAACTTAAGACTTGCATATATGGAGTTTCGGGATGGATAGGTACGTATAGGTATGTAAAATATATATAATCTTTACTTCTTCTTCATTCATTTTGTTCATTTTGGGGGGGGGGAAGTGATGGAAGTAATGGAAGTAATGGAAGTAAATGAATAGTATGAAGTTGTGGCAAGTAAGAAGATTGGGGATGGGACGAAATGAGATTAATAGGAAATGAGATGGGATTTTGGGGGGACTGTAGATGGTTATGTATATATAGAGGTAGGTATTGAACATTGGGATTTATGTATGGATTTTGAGATTATGTAGGTATATGTATATATATGTAGAGGTATGTGAGTTTTGTTATTTGGTTGTTTGTTTATTTGAGGAGAAGAAGAAGAAGAAGAAGAAGAAGAAGAAGAAGAAGACATGGAATTGGTATCTTTGTATCTAGTTTTTGGCAGTGGGTTGGAGGGAATAGGGTGGTATGCGTGTATGTAGTTTCATTTGTTGTTTAATTCTTGGTTCATTCGGGACTTGAGAGGGGGGCGGTGGGTATTTTCTGTGGGAAGTAGAGAGATGCAAGCTTCTGGGGGGGAGGGGGGTTGGAAGAAGAAGAAGCGATTGTAAGGAGAGGAGCTTGTGAGAAGAGAAAGTTGCAAGAAAAACTGTAAGGATAGGAGAGGGAATGGTATGGTATCTAGATATTTGGAGAAGGGTTGTGCGTGAAAATATAAATTTATGTGATTCTTTTCTCATCTTTTTTTGAGGAAGTGGAAGAGGCAAGTATGCATATAGCTAGGGGAAGTGGGAAGATGGAAAGGAAAGGAATGGAATGGAATGGAATGGGATATGACTCATAGAAGAGTTGTGAGTGGAGGGGGAGGGATGGGATTTACGGGGGGGTTATAGGTGATTATGTATGTATTTGTATGTAGTTATACGGTTATCGGGTTTTGAGTACGTAATTTGAATTGTAATGGAACTGGAACTGGAAGAAGAAAGATATTGAGATAGAAATTGTTTTGCTAAGGAATGAAATCAAACATAATAAATGTCTCTCATGCCCTTAGAATCTATAGCAGAATCTATAGCAGAATCTATATAGGAGCTACTTCGGACTAGGATTTATAGCGGAAGGAAGAGTAGAATTCAGGGTGGAAGTGTAGATTCTGTAAGTGGAGGGCAAAATCCAGAGGGTAAAGTAGAATCTATAGGGGAAGGACGGAATCTACATGAGGAGGGAAGATCCTATAGGGGGAGGATGGAATCTGCCGGGAGAGGGTAAATTCTGGAGGTTGAGAGTAGGTTACTAAAAGGGGAGAATAGATTCTATAGGTTCAGAGTAGAATCTATAATTACTATATCATCGCTTTAACCTTGATTTTTTCCCTATAGATTATATTTCCTACAAACTGAATTCCATGACCTTGATATGGATTCTATTCTAGGTTCTTTTACTAGAATCTAAATGGCATGAGAGCAGAACAAATGCGATTTTCAGAGTATGAAAGTATTTGATTGACTTAGGGGGCATAAGAGTAATTTGCCGAAGCAAATATAATGAATACTAATTATAGTTGAGAGTTTGAGGGTTGGAAGTTGAAGTTACGAGTCATGCTCGTTGGAGTGAATAGGAAAGGAAGAGGATGGAGCTGGCTTGAGTTTTGATAGGAAGAACTTGTTTTGACTTGGGCGAAATTTGAAAGGTAATGAAGCCTGCTCTGCTCTGGTTTCTTCTTCTCATTGGTTGGAGTTCTGTGAAAATTAAGTATCTACCGAGATCTTGTGAGATGTGTTGTCATAAGTGTTGTTTGGAGTAGAATGAATGGCTAAGTCTCGTGTATATTATATGACATGAAGGAATTATCTAGATCATCGTCCTAGTCCTTGGTATTTCGATCGTGAGATTAGGCAATATGTAGATGAGTGATGAGGATGTAGATGGGGTGAAATTCTTGCATGGCTGATGGGTGGTTGAGTCCATCAGATAGATAGGTAGGCAGGTAGGTATATACCGCCACTCATACAATGAAACAAACTCACTTGCCGAGTCGACAGCGAAATCATGTCTCGATCGTGATCGAGTTATTAGTCAGAATTAAAGCATAAGCGTCATTCTCTTTAAAAATGAATGGTTCATCGAGGAAGTGCTGTTTGGATTTGATGTCCAAGACTCTTGGACCCGTAACTGACATACTATAATTTAAGCTTACTCCGTAAGACTGGTTCTAGTACTTGTTCTAGTTCTGGTTCTAGTTCTGGTTCTAGTTCTGGTTCTAGTTCTGGTTCTATCTCTATACCAGCGATCTTATACTCTCGTAATATATTTAAAGCTAACCGGAGTATCAAATTTGTAATCGTCAATGGCTAATTACTATAGAGTACAGTAGTATTGATGATGGGTATATGTCCAAATACACTAGTATTTTATCCGCATTTAGCCGGATGTCGGTACTTTCTAGAGGTGGTACCGAAGACCCCTTCTTGTAAAACAACCTGGGAGTGGAGGCGCTCGTTCGCACCTTTAAACCAATGTAATGTTTTTTTTTTTTTGATCAAGTTTATGATGTATTAACCAAGACATTTTTACTTGATCAGAAAAATCAATCAAACACCAGGCAACCGCCTTTTAATATTCAAAGTGACGGGTGACCTATCTACTGTATTTTACTTCGTGCCATCGTGAAAGATGCGGATTCTGTATGTGTTGACAGAAGTTCACTAGTCCGCTATGAGAATACCCGTACATCAAGCTTTTCCATGGTTAACACTATCACATCACAACTTGCTCGATTTGCAATTTAAGTTTATCTATCCCAAATCTGATTTCATCCCCGTTCATCCCATCCGCCATTCCCCATCTCCAAAGTATCACCAACACATTTGGCAACTACCGTTTCGATGCATGACGTTCATCCATCCCCTTATCCCAATTGACAAGTCTGGATCTTGAACCCATGTCTATAATTGGGAAACTCGTCCGAAATTGCAGTTAGTTTCGGACTCACGAAGCCTCAATGCGGGGTAGTACCTTGCTCTATTTTTACATATAGCCGATGTGCTTTAATGGGTCGAGGCAGGGGTTTAGATTAAACGTTTAGAAACGGAAAATGAAGACGTTTGATGTAGAAATCTTGCGGCAATTATTGCATATCTAATCCCTTTGCGGGATATATTGAAGAATGTCACTTTGAGGTCCAGCAGTTCAAGGCCAGATTGAATATAGTGGAGACCAGATGTGTTTTAAAGTTTCTCTTGGGAGAAATGATGGGTGAAGGGGCTGTAAATGATAAGTGTATGGGAACTCCGGATGGAGTAAGTGATCCTGAATCTAGATATATAAGTTGTATCTGCTCCGGAGTTTAAAGAAAATCATCTCATCTACATACTCTCTTGTCACAACCAACTACTTCACTCCTTCAAACAGACTTCACAATGGTTTCTGCATCTTCCCTCCTTCTCGCTGCATCAGCTATCGCTGGTGTCTTCTCCGCCCCAGCCGCGGCACCCGTCAGTGAGAACTTGAACGTTTTGCAACAAAGAGCATTGACTTCTTCCGCTACCGGTACAAGTGGTGGATACTACTACTCTTTCTGGACCGATGGAAGCGGTGGTGTTACATACTCCAATGGAGCCGCTGGCCAATATGCCGTAAGCTGGACCGGTAACAAGGGAAACTTTGTCGGTGGAAAGGGATGGTCCGTTGGTTCCGAGCGGTAAGTTTTCATTCCTTCCTTTTGTCCCTGAGAAAAAAACCATCAAACTAATCCCTCCCCAAAGCTCCATCTCCTACAGCGGATCCTACAACCCCAACGGAAACTCCTACCTCTCCGTCTACGGTTGGACTACCTCCCCCCTCATTGAATATTACATCGTCGAAGACTTCGGTACCTACGACCCCTCCTCCGCCGCCACCGAAATCGGCACCGTCACCTCCGACGGTTCCACCTACAAGATCCTCGAGACCACCCGTGTAAACCAACCTTCCGTGCAAGGAACTGCCACCTTCAAGCAATACTGGTCCGTTCGTACCAGCAAGCGTACTAGCGGTACCGTCACCACCGCAAACCATTTTGCTGCCTGGAAGAAGTTGGGATTGACTCTCGGTTCGACTTACAACTACCAAATTGTTGCTGTTGAGGGTTACCAAAGCAGTGGTTCCGCTTCCATCACTGTTTCTTAAATCTGGGATGGACAGGAAAGCATAACAGTGGTAGTCTGATGGATGAATGAGGAGATGAAGGGTGGATGAAGAGTTCTAGGAATCTTGTTTCTTGTATATATTCCTTACGATGCCGTTGCTGGCCATATCGGATGTTGTTGTTGATGTAGGCCTATGTATCCTTTCTTACATAACCAAGTTCACATGGGAGTTGTGACATCGTGATTTTTGGATTCGGGAGAAGTGTGCAAGGCGAACATGTGATGATGATGTGGACAAAGATTATTCATGCCCCTAGAGATTTCTACAGCTACTTCAACACTCACATATTTCACGAACGAACGAAAGAAAGAAAGAACGAGCCGTCATCTTCAGAGTAAAATGTGAACTTTTGTATGGAAAATTGAAATGTTATTACAAGTATTCTGACTATTGGGTTTCCATTGCATATGCTCTCATTTGCTCTCAGATCCTTTATCGTGCCTTTCATTCAATCATATCATATCGTATCGCTCATCGTATCGTTCATCGTATCGTATCGTCCATCAAATCGTATCATTGTATCGCATCACACCTTCCCCTGCCATCATATCAAGAGAGATCCTGATTTCTCCCTCTCCCCCACTTTTGAAACGAAAATAACACTGCCATAAACACCAACATGCTCCAAATAAAAAAAATCTCAACAATTAACTTACAGATACTCATACATTAAAACCCATCTAATCCACATATTCATCATCCATCACCCATTTCTCAAAACCCCACGGAAAAAATTCTCGCCCCTCTACTGCTCCGCCCTCCAGAACTTCCCCCTTTCTCACCCCTTCTCACATCTCCGCTCATCCTCAACCGAAAGCTCTGTAGCCTTCTCAATCTGCTGCATCTCCCATATCTCCGCTCGTCGCTCTACTGGCTTTGCGTGCCTATCTCCACGTTCCTGCATCTCAGTTTCTGTCTCTTCTCCATGTCTGGCTCGCTTGAATCTTCGGACGGGGTGTTCGGGCTCGTGTTGAAGTGGCGATTCCGGGGATTTCGGAGATTCATCTGCGCGTCGTTTGGCGGTTTCAACGGATTGATTCGGTTGGGCTTCCCGGATGGGAAGGGAATGGAAGTTCGGGAGGGATTCGAGGGGTTGTCTTTGTCTTCTTGCTTGGTATTCTGCTTTCTGAGCTCTGAGTTCTTGTTGTTCCTGCTGAGCCAGCTGGGTTTGTTGAGATAGTCGGGAGAGTTGATAGTGCGCATGATGAACGTGTTCCGCCAGTTCGTTCTTCCGGTCTCGTATCTCGTTTACCAGTTGATCGTAGACATCTCTTGCGTCTCTTGCCTTTTGGGCTAGTTGGTCTTCAGCTAGTTGGTCTTGATACATTTCGTCTTGAACCATCTCGTCCGGATCCATTTGGTCTTGATCTAGTTGCTCGCATGCTACATTCGCCTCGGCGGTCGATTCGTTTTGTCGAGTTCGTTTCTCGTGAGCTATTTTGTCGTAAACGTCTCTTGCGTGCATTGCCTTTTGTGCTAGTTGATCTTGATCCATGTCGTATTGACCCATTTCATACTCATCCATTTCGCCTTGATACAGTTCGTCTTGATACAGTTCGTCTTGATCCATTTGGTCATGAGCTAAAGTCCTGTCGCAGGTCGCTTCGTTTTGTCGAGTTCGTTTCTCGTAAGCTAGTTGGTCGTAAGAGTCTCTTGCCCGTTCAGAACGTCGTTTTTGGGACAATTGATCCTGAGCGAGTCGGCCACAAGCTTGCTTTGCTAGTTGGAACAGTTCAATCGGTTGTGCTAGTTCTTCTTTAGCTCGCTGCTCTTGCGCTACTTGGTCGAGAGCCACACTCGGCTTCCGAGTTTTTTTCATTTTGTTGACCTCGTTGCTCGTGATCATGTTGCTTGTAAATATCTTTTGCATTTTGAGCTAGTTGTTCTTCGACCATTTGACTTTGAGCCAGTTGGTCGCAAGCTTGTTTCGGCTGTTGGACCACTCTAGTCGGTTGAGATAGTTGTTCTTGGGCCAGTTCATCGTGGACTTTTTGTGACTCTTGATCCATCCTCGCCCGTCGAGCTATTTTATCATAATTATCTGTTGCCTTTTGCGCCAACTGAACTAACTCCGCCATTTCGACTGGTTGAAATTGTTGTTCTTGCTGTGGTTGCGCTTCCTGGGCAGGCTCTTGTTTTTGCTGTGAGGCTAAAGTCTGAACTCCCCCAACATCTTCCTCTATCTCGACACCATAACGCCTGGAATCTCTCAGCGTAGTAGACTTTCCAAACTGAAAGACAGCGGTAGGATTATGATTTCCGAAGAGATTTAGGTTTAAGCCAGGTGTGTGTGGGGGTAACGGGGAGCATTGTGCGGCATCATTCGTGGCTTTCTGGGGCTGTAAATGACTCGAAATGTGAGCTGAAGCTTGGTGTGGCAAATGTGGATCGAGATATCTGGATTTCGAGGGTGTGCGAGTATGGAATTGGAATCGTTGGGAAGCAGAAGGTTGACGAGACTGAGCTTGGTAAGATTGAGCATGTTGATCTGGGACCTCTCGAGAGACTGACAGCGCTCGGAATCGATTATGGTCGACTTCCTTTTGAGCTTGAGGATTCTTTGTTCGGAAGTTATGAAGCTGTTGAAAGTTTTTATCAACGGTGTCTTGATCTTGAAGCATTATGGAGGGATCAGCATGGAGAGCACCGGCGCCTACCATATTGAGAGTGTGGAGTGGCGAGTTCATATTGACCTTGCTCGTTCCGTCTCCATGATCTTTTTCGACCATGCTGTCCAATCCGCTAGCGAATTTAGGACTTTGCTCAAATGGATCATTGTTGCTGAGTACATGACCATCGTCATCAAGCGGAGGATAGCTATGCGGCATTGGTGAAAAGCGCAATAAATCGTTGGTTTCACCAGCAAATTCAACGCCTGCTTCGCTTGTATTATCAAAGTTGTTTGGGCTATTGAACGATCCGACATTTTCCTCCTCGATACTAGGAAGAACCGTAGGTTCATTGTTGTTTTGGTAGCCAGTATTGTCTTTGTTCATTTCGGCCATAAGACCTATCGCTAGATTGACATCCTCCAACTCACTTCGGATTTCATTAAGTATATTCTCCAATGTGGATATGCGGTCTTGGAGTCTCGCTGTCTCGGTCATGCTCTTGCCTCTGTTGCCCTCACTGACACAATTTATCGCCATCATCAAGTCCTCTAGCTTCGCTTCGCATTGTTTCTTGACATTCTCGTGACCAAGAAGACGGGATTGAATCCTCTTTGCGTCGAACTGCATTTCTTCGAGTTCGTTGAGCCTTGCTATGGTCTCCTCAGACGGACCTAGAGCTGGTGTAGCGATTACTGGTGCGGGTATAGGATGTTTTCGTAGAGGCTCGGCAGTGTATGGTTTAGCCTTTGGCATCAGAGGCAAATTGGCAACAGTATGTTTTCGATGGTCTGTATTGGCTATGGGCATACTTGGTTTCGAAAACCGCGCTGTCACATTCTGATTTGGTTGTATTCCTTGGAATGAGTCCTCGTTACTGTTCTCCAGTGATTTTCCCTGTCGTTTAGCTGCCCTTCTAATATCAACATCTTTACAACGAGAGCATGTAGATAGAAACCTGCAATTGCTCATGGGAAAATTGGTCCTAGGCTTCCAAACTCTTTCCTTGCTACAATAACGATACCGGGGACCCTCTTCACCAGTTGCCGTGTACAGGTTGTTTTGAGGATAACCTGGCAGGTTTCGCTCATCTTCAGGAAGAGGAACATCTGGACCAAAAATCTGCAGCCATTGTTGATAAACGTTCAATGTTGTGAAGTACTGTGGAGTAACACCAGCAGGGGCACTTCCAGGATAGAAGACCTCATTGGAAAAGCTTGGTGGGATACGTTGCGGAACAGGCGTCTTTCCTACATGAACATAAGTCATCTTTTCACTGAAGTTTATGTTTATGCGGGAGGATGTCGATCAATAAATGTCGTGTAAAGTGTTGATGAAAGATTCGGAAATTGGCGAGAAGAGTATTATTGACAGTGTCGGACAAAGTCGAAAGCTATCAGAAGAACAAAAAAATGTTCGAATGTGCCTAATGAGATATGCAATGAGTCGAGAGGTAGTCAATAGGTACACATAGACTGCCGGGAAATTTTGTGAAGAAAAGGTGACCAAGCGCAAATTCGTCACTTGGGGAACACTTAAGTAGACATAAGGCGTAGTCGAATTCACTTTGTTTACACCTTCTTATCTTGCTTTATTATCAGCCATGCCGAGGCTAACCAGATAAATGAGGGGCTGGAGGAGTGACGAATGGATTGAGTGTTGAATTGTCAATGAGGATATTGTAGATCTTGAGATGTCATCTCATAATTATATTGTGGTTGTCTTTAAGCGAGCAGCCTTGGGAGGTAATTGTCATCTGAAGAGCAAAAGACTTTAGCAGGTACATTGTTGAAGCTCGCAATCACCATTACCTAGTGAAAAGACAGATATTTTGGATGACGAAATACTATCTTCTTTTTAGTGAAGTTTGTCTATTGAATATAGATCCGTAATATTTTGCGGATCATAATACAGGTATCAATTCGCTTAACCAAAACGCCATTCATTAGCTTACGATTCGTAATGTCTGATGATATCTAAACCTCATAATCAGGTCGCAATAACTTGAATTTTGTTTGTTAGTTGATTGCATGGAGGTCCTCTGTAAATGAGAGGGGAAAAATGAAAAGTATGGTGGCGAGAGTGTCGGAATGACCAACTGAGAAAGGGTGATAGAATTGTGAAGTGAAGGATGGTCTATTTATCAGACCAGAAGCTATGCGTACCTAGTAATCGAGCAGCATATGCTAGAAAGATCTTATGTGATATGAGACGCTGGCTGAGCAACGCATGAGATCTCTCTACCTTGTTGCTGACTGCATACTGGGAGAAACTCACGGAAGTCAAATTAAAGCATCTTCCTCACGAGATGATAGAGGGATTGCAACTATGTTAGTAATAACATATTAGAGATCTCAAAAATATAAAATGGATAATCTTAAAGATGACTACTCGCTCATGGAATGTGTGCGCTCCGTGATCAAGAATCGATATGACTCGTCCTTTTGTTGAGGTCAGAAATAATAAGAATGTAGACTTCACTGAATTTTCACTCTCAATTAACATTCAAAGGCAACGATAATTGCTTACGAAGCACCAAATATCCTGAGTTGATTTGTTTCCATTATATAAAGTTGTGTTTGAATGACACAGAAAGGCATCTATTTGTTGACGAAAGATTTACAAGTCAAAGAAAGCCCAGAGTCAACTATACACCACACAACCAAGGGAAGAGTCACTACTTGTGTCTATTGTACGCTCAGAGATTGAATGTTGATATATGGATTTGGATTTACAAATTATGAGGAACAAAAACAATAACGCTGTCGATTGCTTTGACAGTGACTTCTCTACTGTAGTTCATCTATACCAATGACAGTAACTCATTCTTTGTGCATGGTTCATAACCTTACTACAAACACAATTTAATGTTCACTGAAGGCTATGAAGACCATAACAAGTATGTAAATAAACAAACAGCAAGTCCTGTTAGAAGTGAGTGTAGGTTCAACAAATATCAAAGCCCTCGCTTCGACAATTGGTTCTCACACAACTGCTCGAGAATTGTGATATTGAAAATTCAAATTCAAAATTGAAAATATAGATCCGAAGTAAGACCTTCAAGGAACTCTTGTCTTGTTTCAGGATTGTGATAGCCATTTAAAGTCCTAGAGCTCTTCCATTCTCCAAACTTCCTACAATCTTGACAACAACATTACAACTTTCAAATTCTTCGATACAATCCTATCCTTTACCTGAACTTTCGTTGTTTGATATGACTATTACTTTATTTATTAGTACGATCAAGAAAAAACTTGTTGATTCTACAAAGCTTGGGATCTCGAGTTACTTTCTCTTGGACTTCAACAATTGAAGATCGAATCATGCAGCATACAGTTCATGGTAAGTACACTACTACTTATGGCTTCGATCTCTCTCTCTTAATTCCAGAAACTGATCTGTTATATAGCAGAAAGTCTCACCCAACAAATCCAAGTTCGACACTATCAACGCCATAGAAAATCGTGAAGGACAGCTTGATTTGCTTGTTATAGCTTCGGACAGCAGCATACCCGTCGATACTATGCTATCGAAGAAGAACTCAGAAACCCGTCGGTCATTGGTCGCCTCAGATCTCAGCACTCCTGGACTTTCAAAACAAAATGAGATTTTGTCTTTGCAAGTCCCAGGGGGTATAAGCCATGTAAGTTACCTTATTCAACGTTCAGTATGCAACTAGCATGCCAACACTTGATCTACTTCTTAAAATCATAAAGATCTACATTCAATACTTCGAGCATCTCTTTAAGTGTATCACCACTGACATACATGACTCGTAGCCATTTGATACTTTCGAAATCGACTCGTGGCTTCCGGCGCTCGCCGATCTCCTTCCTAAGATTATGAACATCTATATCCATCGCCTCGAATATCTCCTCAGGCGTATGGCCGCTGATATGCATAGCGCATAACGAGCAAGGAGAGTTCCAGATGCCAACTCCAACCCCACCACCACCATGGTGGTGGTGGCGTCTTGATTCGATGACAATTCTCGAGCGAGCTTTTCAAGCTGCCTCTACGATACATAGAGGACTGGCCTCGGTGTCAGAATACTGTAAGTCTATCCCAAACTTCTCTTTCTGCAAACATATAAGCCCTAGCATTTCTAACATCATGCCCAAGTGATGACGACCTTGGCCCTGAGGTCAATGAATACGTACTCGTATCATTGTTTCAGGACAGCTTCCATTCTGCAAGCACAAGCATCCTTCGTGGGCGATCTCGGCCTAGAAGTCAATGAATAAGTCCTGGTTTCGCTCTTCCAAGCTAGATTCCCCTCCTGTGAGGGGAGTGAGACCAAGACTTATTCATTGACTTTTGCAGTTGCCGGATCGTAAGATATGTTATATTAGATGTGATGTATAAGCCAACGTCAAATCTGCTCCTGAGCAGATCTTTAAAAACATTAAATTGTTTGCCTGCGCATGCAGGCTCTTCTTTACTTGAAGTGCCTGTGTGGCTGTGGGGGATTGAGAGGTGATCGTCGTTCAAATCCGCATGGATATATTTCTACCTGGTGTCTTTGGATACCTGAAGAGCACAAGGTGGCAGATGTGTGGATGTGGAAATTTGTTGTCCTGGGTGTTACTCTGCAAATATTTTGGGGATAGGAGATGGCATCACGTCCTGAATAGCGTATATGTAAGAGGTGGATAAGTAGTACCAATAAAATACAGTTAACCATAGCCGCTTCGGCGTGCGCTTCCTTTTCCTCATCTTGTTGAAGTGTTTAAGAAGATGTTGGCAGAGGGTTGTGGGTAATTGTGGGTAGTCCTATCTTTGACCTTCTCATGAATTTATAGCTAACAAACAAATCAGGAGAAATGAGGATAATTCCAGTCACTACCTAGTAAGTCTCCGGATTTCAGTCCTACTGTCCATAATGTAAGGCACTGACTTTCCTTTTGCTTCAGGCAATTGATACCTGTACATGCCCCTACCAAGAGTCCCAACGCCTTCATATGCCCTTTAAAAAGGGTATGCAATGGCTTTGCTGCCTTGCACTCGATTCCGGACTGCTCACTTCGAATGAAGACGAGCAAAGTCAAGTCTTCGAAGCGGAGGCAGAGAGCTTCTCCCAGAAACCACATGCATTAAGAAGAGCCTCGACATGTCTGCCTCTCATATACCTTTCTTCCAGACCAATGTCGGTGAGCCAGTTATCACCAACCCATAGGACAATCCAGAAGCCGCATCATATGGTGGATGATGTTAGTATGGTTCTCCTCCCTCAAGACTGCTTTCCTAACGCCTGCTTGATAGGTTTCAATGGAGTCTGAACGACTTTCCAGAAATTGTCTCCTTCGAAAAAAAAATGAACATAACGAAAATTTGGTGCAGCCAAGGTCAAGAAAGCAAATGGGACTCAGGGAAATTCGAAGTTGCCGGTGGCTTGAGTCAAGCCGGGTAACTTTCTGTCCACGCCATCTACTTCGTCTGCCGACTATTATCCATCCAGCCTTTACTTACACTCGACCTCGACATTGGTTTCTTCACTGATTTCCTCTCAGGCATTTCAAATGCCATAGCGCTTGCTGGTTGTTGCTTTCCCCCCGTCTTGCTGCCAAGGCAACATGCCTAGACAAAAGGCACTCCAGCCAAGATGTACCACCCGCGAAATCACTTCCTTTTCTTGAAGCGATTTCCAGAGCTGTGCCGCAACGTAAGTTTACAACACACAATATACTATCACGATTTTTGTGTTTGACTGACTTTATATAGGGCATTAAAGATTCGATCATTGAGTTCCGTCGGGAAAACTCTCGTCTGTTCTTTGGATAAGACAGAGTATTCTGGGGGATGGGCGAAGCCACGTGCTTGCCGAGGACAGTGAGCTGTACAAAGGCATGCTCGCAGGCAGCCCGATGAAACTTAGAGAACCCAGTCAGAGCAACTTCGAAACCTTGTTCAACGTAGCTGATTGGGCTGTCGGAGGAAGTTATTTGCTAGTCTTGTATAGAATCGTAGTTCAAGTTTAATTTCATTGAAGTGTTGCCATGTCATTTCCCCCCGATATGATACTACAGAACAGTCTCACTGCCACATACGACCATAGACTGAAGAGAATTGGGCAATCTCTATGTTCCATTGAAACGTCCGCCTTCCCTAAAGCAATTTCCCAAACTTAGTATAATAATGTTCACCAGTTTTTCGATTCTCGAGCCAGTTTTTCGATTTGAGAATAGGATTATGGATTCCGGTATTGGTTATATTTACTTGAGTATACCAAGAACGAAATTCCGTAGAACTTCTCAGTGTAGTACAGAGTCCGAATTGTGGAATAGAAGGTCCAAACCCAAATGGTTTTGCGACAGGAGTAAATTGGGGATATAGAAGTGGAAGCCGTCTAAGCAGTATAGCTGAAAACTAAAACCGTTAGTGGAAGTTGAACCAGAGTTGAACCATTAACCGTTCCCATATCTTCGTATATTGGGCTAGGTAGTGGGTATCAATAACCACTATGGTATACTCTGTAAGCGATCTTCCGAAAATAGTACTAGCTAAATGGAGCATAAGATCACACTTCAGAGGGGCGCTATAGGAGACAGGGGTTTTATATAGTATACTAATTAGAACTACCCTATAAGGATAGCCTAAAGGTGAAACTGGGTTAGAATCGAACTTCTGTAGTTCGGACAGAGAAATGTTCCGGTATGCCAGAGGCAGGGTAATCGTTGTACTAGCAATAGACCAATAATAATTAGTGAATACTTACACTTGGTTTCTGAAAACATTCAATGATTGAGTATAACAAGTATTAATATAGAATGATCATAAAAGAAGACCGAAATATAATACTTTATAATACTAAAGCTTTTAGATTCATAAGATGACTTGAAAAACCATAGTTAGTAAACTACAGTACAATCTTTTGCATAAGGAGCAACAAAGTGTAACATATCTAATATTTTTGATGAAGCTATTGAGGCTGATCTGGCTGATTCGGCAGCATATCGGCGCCGTGGTGAATGCTTCCAAGCTTTCACCTCCTTGAATGTTATAGGTTTTACGAGCCAGTAGTCGCTCTGAGTCCCAAATCTGTAGACGGTTTTTCGTAACTCGTTTTCCCTACGCCGTTTCCTGGTTCGGACATCTAGCATGGACAATTATATATAACAGCCATCAGATACTCAACGTCCATCAGTTCAACATTCAAACAAGAAGACAAAACAAGAGCCAAACAAGAAAACAAAGCAAAAACCTACCAAAGATTTCCAACCACATGTAAGTCGTCCCAAATCTCTTGTTTCCTGATCTAACAGTTGGAAGAAACCACGATGTGTCGATTTAGCTTCTCCTACAAAAAGACCAGGGACCACGATGTTGAGGACCTCCCCACATACCGACCCATTGCCGAAGGTGTCCCGTAGTCAAATACTGTTTTGACGTCTCTTCACCTGGGACGATGACGATCGCTGCCAGAGCAGACGGCACTTTCAAAGTCAGACATATACCTAGCCATGGTATGAGATCTTCTACAACTACCACACCTGAGCGCCCCGTCCATGCGGACCATAGAGAGTCCTTGCGCCTTGAGAATTCTTCTACTAGAGAAGAAAGATTGGAGGAAACTAAGTTGAGGCTTGCCGAGGCAAGGGCAAGGTTCCAAGAATCGATGGATCGTCTCCATCAGGAGTTGATGGTGGTAAAAAACGACGAATCCATGGTGTTGTTTGAGGAACATGATGTTTATGACGATGATGACGGTGATGATGATGAAGTCTTGGAGGGCCCAAAGGAAAGCCTGAAGTCCTTGGAGTATAGTGATTCTACGGCATTGGTGAAAATCTAGTGCTCGTACACATCACTTGGTGACACTTTCGATGGGTGATGGATTTGCTTTTTATCTGCACTGGATACACTTGGGACTGTTTTTGTATGTACTTGGAATTTATGTTGATATACAATAGCAATGATCATTTTATTCATATCCTACTTGACTCCCTACAAAGCAGCTTGGATTATGACTGCCCTCAGAGTTTGCGGCATCAGATCGGTAAAGATTATCCCAAGCCATTTACGATCACTCTAACGTTTAGAATAGTTCGGCTGAGGCAATGGCTCGCAACCAAGCGAAGCAATGTTGGAACTGCCGTATGCAAACAAGTCGTCGGTTCTCTAGTCACGTGGAAGTGGCAGAGGACAGTAGGGTTGTGTATTGAAGCAGTCAAGCAGGGAATTGAACAAGTGGTTCCGACCGAGTAGTAACTAAGTAATAGAATTACTATTTGAGTTGAGCACAAAGCTCCATGTACTAAGGAAATACATTCTGCTTATATAGATAAACCTTTGTGCTCCGCCGTGGTGGGACTGGTGGGACGTCACACGGTCGCTGACTAAGGGTTCTACTAATGGTACCGTTTCTTTCCTAGGGTAAGCATTTGACTAGTAGATTCTTCTAATCGAAAGCCGTTGCGGCTAAAGGATAGCGAACTGCTGTGAACACTTCGTTGCAAAACCACTCCACTGCAATGGCATCGACGATATTTTCTGGTAACGCCAACCGTGGCCTCCAAGCCGGAACAATTAACGGTCCGGTCAATGCTGAGTTTTATCACTATGCCCCTCTTCCTCCTGGTGAGTTGCGAAGGGTCTTTTCGTCGGCTCTTCGAAACAACGCGTGTAGATCTAGGCATCGTTGAATCTTCCAATACTGTACAAGCTGTCCTTTCAGTAGCAACAGGTATAAGTATGGCCCAAACTATTGTGGCTCGAAAGAAAGCTAAATTTAGGGACGGGGTTTTCCGGCGCTGGGCCCTTTTTGACTTCGCCTCATCGGAATTTCTTACATAGTCATATCGCACCCGCCACCATCCTGTAAATACACTGAGTTTAATATTGATGGCCTCTACGCAGTTAATTCCTGTACCTAGTGTGGTGGAAGATCAAGCCTTACGTAAGCCTGCAGGAACGGGTGCGGGTCGGGGTGTAGGTGAGGGAGAGGGGGAGGGGAGGGAGAGTTGGAGTTGGAGGGGATGATGATGGTATCGCGGACAACTTGACGGCGAGGGCGGTTGGCTGCACGAGTGGCAGGGGTCGCACCGGTAGCTACGCGGATGTTACGGGCGCGAGCCGCAACACGAGACGAATGAGAGGTTCCGGGTGCAGGAGGGGGGGGGGAGACCGCCTGATTTAAATATAAGCGGTTGCGGTCAAATATCAGCTGGCGGGTTGACCTACGGAACGAACAAGTGCTCCCTTCGCTGCCGTAATGGTAGTTGGCACACCTACCACCAAGTTCACCAGCTACAACAACACACTCCGTCCAATATCGATTTCCTTCTCCGCAATGTCGACATGGGGTAGTAGCGACCTGCCCGACGGTTTGTGCAAGTGCTGCTTCGAGGTTAGCGGGTCGTGCCGCAAGGTTGATCTGGCGGTTGGGCCGCAGAGTCCAGCCCTCCAAAAATCTACCCAGTACTCTCCTTATATCTATTTTTCGACCGCCTAGAGGTAATCTTAGGTCTCCCCTTCTCCTTCTTCCTTTTCTCCCCCATGGTGCTAACTTGATACTGCCCATATCCGACCAGTGCCTCCTCTGCTGATAGTCACATCTCTTGATGCGAACTTGTTGCCTCTTCCCAGGTGAGATCTCTCGACTCCCTTGTTACCTCCTGATTAGCTATATCTTTCGATACACAACCTCTTCTTCCTCGTCTACCTGCTGCCGCGAACGCCCAAAACTTAACTCACTGAGTACTCTCCTTTGATTCAAAGAGACCTTATCTCCCCTCATTCGTAGACCCCTTGGCTGCCGAAGTCCTGATACCGCCATATCGACCAAAACAAAAACAAAAAAAAGAAAACGACCTTAAAAAAAACGCAAAACACAAAAAAAAAATCGTAAACAAAAACTGTGATAGCCTACTCAGACCACTACACCATGAGCGCCTGAGTAGTACTACCACAGCTACTCCACGACCTTTTTACCACGATATATAAATAGTTAACAACCCAGATATTATCTACACCAAAAAGCCCCTTTCCCCGTTCCCAATCCTCCTGTATACCAGAATCCTCACCGAAACGCTGGAACCTATATATAAGGAAGCCTCCGCAGTAATCCCAAGGCCTACACGAAGAAGAACAGAGATAGCTAGACTTTAACCCCTCGGTAGGAGAGTATCAGGGCTAACCTTCCCCTCCCCAAGCCAAGGGTTTGCTCTACTAGGCAAACCGCGTAGAGGCCTATTCTAAACTCGATTCAGACCCCCTCAACCAGGTTGTAAATGCCCATTCGTAATACAATGCAAAACCTTCCAGTTATTCCCTATATTGGTTGCTGCCAGCTGACTACCGGACAAATATTGAGGGAGCAGGGAAAATTTGCTATATAAGTAAATCATATGATCATACTTATCTAGGCTGCGAACTTACCCACCGGGTACCCAACCCATCCAACAGGTGGGTGTACTCATAGATAGGTTGTAATGACTGATAGATATCCATTAGATAAATTGGAGTCTTTTTTTTTCTATCTAGTGATTGTTATAAGCCTTTATAGAAAGTATGACACTCTTGTTTGAATATAAAAGTAGATTAGAGAAGTCAAAAACCTACTTATGGATTACCTGTGGATAGGTAGAAGGAATGTAATTACCCATTCATGAGTACCCATTTCGCAGCCAATACTTATCTTAGTTGCTTACGAGGGCTTCACATCCATATTATCCCACCTGTCTGTTTGGCGACGAGGCTGCCGGCTGGTAGGTTCTGAGTAGTACTACCACAGCAAATCCAATATCCTCGTCTGTTTCACCTTCACTAGAAACTTTCGAGGAGTGGTGTCATTTTTTCTGTTTTTTGGGGGGGGGGGGAGTTGGTTTTCCGGAACGGCTTCGGTTTGGGGAAGGGGTAAGGTACATGAAGGGGCAGCCTGATTCAGTATTATAAAGGTATTATCGAGGGTAGTACTAGCTATACATGCCTCGAGTGCATACACTAAGCTTTCGGGTCATCTGTACAGCACGGGCCGTACCACCTCTCTCATCTTCTTACATTCATAAACACGTGAGTCATATACCTAATCACCAACGCCTGTAAAGCTGGATGGTCAGCCAGAAGCTCTATACAGACTACCTCATCAATACGATCAGTAGCATCGAACTTCATAGCCGCATTGGAAATTACAGGTATATAGATAATTCTCTTTCATTTTATATCTTTACTCGCTTAGACGGATTATTGCTGTCAGTTTCCAAGCTTTTTCGAGAAACAGCCGTGGTCATACTAGCACCCGGCTTGCCAAATTCTATAAATACATTAACAATACAAAGACTTTTCTGAAGCTCATACTCGTCTTTGTTATATCCAGGGTGTAGAGCAACCGCGCGAGCAATATCACCTAGCTTTATAAAATCATTTACCAATGACGAAGTCATCTCGGCGCCATAGTGAACTTCATTAGCCCATTTAATCAGCTCAGCTATATCTGAGATAAGCCATCGATTTCTCTTCTCATATAACTCGAGAGTGTTGTCGGAATCAAATGGGTTGTAGAACAATAGCGCAGAACACCAGGGTACAATAGCATCAAATACTTTAGTATTAGATGTACGGATACAATTACCCAGAATTGTTAGCTTAGTATTTAAACGTTTGTGTTTGTATACATTTGAGTTTATCAGCCTTGCTCTGTGTATCCAGTTCACAAACTTCGACTTAAGTATCTTTGAAATTGCTTGCTGATTTGGTTGTTCTTGAGAATTCAAGTTAACGAGATGTTCTTCGTTTGAGTTTATGTTGCAGTTCGTTGCGATATATCTCGAACTCTCTACCACATGTCTTAACTGTTCTTCGATATCGTGCAACTCTTCGATACTAGGACAGGAGATGTCACGCGGCTGTGAAAGGTTCGGGCTAATTGGAGTACGAGTCGGTTCTTCGATGCTAGGAGAGAAGATGCCATGCAGCACCGGTGCAGGGCTCGGGCTAATTCGAGTAGGAGTTGGTGTTTCCGCAATCACCATTTCGATAGTATTGATTGATGGGGTTTGCTGTTCCAAAATGGTTGGCGGTGACTGGGGAACCTGCACTTCCGGAATCAACTGATCATTCTCGGTATATACTGGTGGTAGTGATGTTGGGTCAAATTCACTCCATTCCACTAATTCAGGTGCACATCGAATATACATTTCCTTCATGTTGGGTTTGTGTAGGTTGGTAGGACTACCAGTTTCGCTTAAGCGATTGCGAACCTCTTGTATACCTACCAGCGCATAATCATTTGGCTTGATATATACGGTGAAGGTTTTCGTCCTAGATAGAGATTCGAGGCCACAAATCAATTTGGTTGAGCTTGTGTTCCGTGGCTTAATAGTTGTACTCTTTTTCTTCATAACGATGAACCCATTTGTAGACAGATCGAATTGTATACGGAAAACAGATACTGAATCGCTAATTTCAGCCTCATGAATAGCAGAAGCATCGATATGAGATAACTCATCGATATTCGATATTAAACAAGGTTCGGAAGGATCTGCGAAGTTGGCATTTGGAGGAACAACCAATAACATCTCCATTTCCTGTTTGTTGCCTGAAAGTGTAATAGATACTTTAAGGGAAAAATGAACATGGATATATCCTTCTGTATCATAATATACAGCTAGGCAAAATTTGAGATTCTGCTTGTTCTGATTCAAACGGGAACCTAATGTACAAGATGTACCTGATTGATCTTCCCATTTTACAAATACTCTCTCGCAGAGGAGACGTTGAAGCTTGAGTTTCTCAATGAGAATCTCAGTCGGATTCGACATGATTTGCCCCTGTAACTATAATTAGCGATAAACATACTAGCCCACACTTTACGTGCGATTCCCAACCCACCCAGGCTATAGAGCAGCCTTGACTCTTGGGGAAAAAATAAGGTATAGGAGTGATCTTAAACCTCACGTAAATTGTATTGGAGTAGATACTGAAGGACTACCACTAGCAGGGTTGATCCAAGCAACAGATACTGAAGAACTATCACAGCAGGACGGTTCGAAGCAGCAGATACTGAAGAACTATCACAGCAGGACGGTTCGAAGCAGCAGATACTAAAAACTATCACAACAGGATGGTTCTAAACAGTAGATACTAAGAACTATCACAGCAGGACGGTTCGAAGCAGCAGATACTAAGAACTATCACAGCAGGATGGTTCGAAGCAGCAGATACTGAAGAACTATCACAGCAGGACGGTTCGAAGCAGCAGATACTAAGAACTATCACAGCAGGATGGTTCTAAACAGTAGATACTAAGAACTATCACAGCAGGACGGTTCGAAGCAGCAGATACTAAGAACTATCACAGCAGGATGGTTCGAAGCAGCAGATACTGAAGAACTATCACAGCAGGACGGTTCGAAGCAGCAGATACTAAGAACTATCACAGCAGGATGGTTCTAAACAGTAGATACTAAGAACTATCACAGCAGGACGGTTCGAAGCAGCAGATACTAAGAACTATCACAGCAGGACGGTTCGAAACAGCAGATACTGAAGAACTATCACAGCAGGACGGTTCGAAGCAGCAGATACTGAAGGACTAACAGTGGCAGGGAGGTTCTAAGCAGCAGATATCGTGGAATACAACTCTTGTTGACAATATAATGTAGCAGCGATTTTGATTCGTGATAGCTGTTCCGCGATGGAGATGGACGAATATAGAGATAGCGATAGAAAGGAAGTGGCTATATAGTCGTAATAGAAGATAGAGGAATATAGAGATGGTGATCGAAATGGAGCGACCGAGGGATATAGAGACGGTGATGGATGGAGCGACCGAGGGATATAGAGACGGTGATGGATGGAGCGACCGAGGGATATAGAGACGGTGATGGATGGAGCGACCGAGGGATATAGAGATGGTGATGGATGGAGCGACCGAGGAATATAGAGATGGTGATGGAAATGGTGCGACCGAAGGATATAAAGATGAGTTTATGAAAATGGAAATAGAAGGATATGATACAAGATGGTGATATGGAGATGGTGATGAAAATGGAAATAGAGGGAATAAAGAGGTATAAAGATAACGATAGAAAGGGAAATAGAAGTGAGACGAATGTAGAGACGGTGAAGAATAAAGGGAAAAGAGTTTTGGCCAGCGAACTAAAGCAGACTAATAAGCGAGACCTATACAGAAAAACTTGGTTATACCGGACTGAAATTTTCGACCAATGAAATCCGGTATAAAGAAGATTCCGGTATAAAAAATGGTGGCCCAAGCTTTCTAACCAAAATTTATATCCGATTTCAGCTCTAAACCCCGATATTTTCGAGAAAATATCATGTGATAATAGCCTTTCAAGCTTACTCATCCAAAATATAACTTATTCAGTCAAAATATAGCTTATTCAGCCAAATTGACCACCAAAATTTACCGGAATTTAGTCAATTTAGTCCGGTATACCGGTTTTCATCAAAATTCCGGTATTCCCATATAAATTTAGGAAAAGTGTTACAACGGATTAGTAACAGGCTGTAGAATCACCAACGTATAGGCTATAATGGTACTATAAGCCTCGGTGATTCAGCTGCAGTATACCGGGGGACGCTAGGCACCCAGGAGAGCCTCAGGCACGTATATAGTATTAGTCATAGTATACCCTAGAAACATAGGACATAGTTCCCAGGACAATAGGTCCTAGGAAAGACAGAACACAGTAAGCAAGAAGGCTTCACTAGGATTAGTAATGTCCCAGGGGATTAGCCCCAGGACAAAAGAATAAGCTAGGACACCAAGAGTCACGGGATTAGTGTCCCGTGATGGACAGCTCAGGAACGACAGCGCTCCAGGAGCGCCCGGCTGTCCCAGCTGTCCAAGTAGGACGAAGATCTATATAAGGGAATGGGTTTCATTACAATGTAGAGCTTCGTGCTCAAGATCAATCATTAGTTTCATACTATAGTTACGAGAATTGCAACCAGTTACAACCTTATTGAATTCCTACTTGAAGTCTAGTCTAAACCACCTCGAGAGATCTCTAGACACTTCCACGTGACCCTAGAGGCAGCTCCCGTAACAGATTATTAATAATCGATTTCTTTCACTTTATACTATATTAAACTCTATACTATATTATTGTATTATTATACCTTTTATTTTTATATTTAAAATCCTTTTATTATACTCTCAAAGCTCTTTCTTATTAATTTGTTAAATTAATTTAAAGGTTATAATAACCAGCTCTTTTCAACTATCTGTTACAACGGTATTCAACATACTGCGTCACATGGCCAAACGGTCATATGATAAACCTAAAGGATCTAGAGGATTGAAGAATAAATGTCTAGATTTATAAGATCTAAAGGATTCAAGTAGAATAAAGCCTTATAGTTCTATAAAGAACAAAGGTCTATATAAGGAATAGGGTTTCTTTATATATAGAGCTTTGTACTCTAGAATAATTATTAATTTCATTACTATAATTATGAAAATTACAACCAGTTATAATCTTATTGAATTCCTACTTAAAGTTTAGTCTAAACCACCTCGAGAGAACTCTAGACACTTCTACATGACCCTAGAGGCAGCTCCCGTAACACTATCTTAATAATAATAATAACAATAATAACATTATATTCGAAGATATATTCTTTCTAATACATAACATATTAATTAATAATAAGAGTTTATACCAAAATTTAATCAATTCAATCTAATATTTTAGTTTTTATTGAAATTCCAATATTCTCATATAAATTTCGAAAAAAACCATAAAAAATCCGGTATATCCTAGTTCGGTATAGTCAAGTTCTACTGTACATGAAAGCATAATTGACTTGTAGATTACTACAGAAAAACTTGGTTATACCGGACTGGGATATACCGGACTTTTTTTCCATCTTTTTGTTACGGGAGCTGCCTCTAGGGTCACGTGGAAGTGTCTAGAGATCTCTCGAGGTGGTTTAGACTAGACTTCAAGTAGGAATTCAATAAGGTTGTAACTGGTTGCAATTCTCGTAACTATAGTATGAAACTAATGATTGATCTTGAGCACGAAGCTCTACATTGTAATGAAATCCCATTCCCTTATATAGACCTTCGTACTGTACTGGAGCGTTCAGGACCTAGAGAGGTCCTGGACCTTTGGTCTGTATGGACCTACATTCCGTTATGCCTGTCATGCAGGGTCCATCACGTGCTAAGAGTATGTGACGCGGTACCAAGGATGGACCGGCGTAACACTATATCATTAAGTGGTCTATTTCAAAATACACTAATATTAAGCTTTTTCTAATATTTATATTTTAATAACTAAACATTATTTTATTAAAAAAAAGGTATTAAATAATAATAAAAAATTTAAAAAAAAAAATCTAGTTTTTATATAAATATTTTCATTATATTTTTAAAAAAATCAAAATTGTTACGATTTTCATTACAAAAATATCATTTTAATAATAATTCATATATCAATTTGGATTTTCTAAAACAAATTAGATTTTTATAATATTTATATAATTAAATATTCTAATTTCAATTTTAAAAAATTCTATTAATAAATAAAGAAAATACATGATTACGTACAGACGAATTTTATATGTATTTTAAAGTGGGCCACTCGATGATATAGGCCACTCGGTGTTAAACTATGTTAAATAATATTCTATATTTTAAAACTATAGAATTTTGAAAAAAGCTTTTTAAATATAAAGATAAACTTTTATTATTTGATAAAAGGAAGATTTAATTAATTAGCTTTATTAACGGTTTCAAGAAATATAATTTTATATAAAAAAAATATCGATTTAATAAGGATACTTTTATAAAGGTGGGCTTTAAAATAAATATTATAATGAAAGAGATATAATGTGTTATAGTTTAATATAATTTAGATAATATCTACAATTATAATAAAATAGATATCTTTTAGAAAAACAGATTAAATCGTATGCTTTCTATATTCGAATTTATTAATAGAAAGAAGGAAAAAGTTCAATTTACAACACTTCTTATTAATAACTCTACAAACATTTATAAGCTTTTTCTATAAATTATTAGGAAAGTATATATTCTATAAATATTTAGAAAAATAGGATTAACTACTCTTAATAGTTTAGAAATGAAATATCGATTAAATTCGAAGTTCTAAATGAATAATAATATATTTTCTGAATATCTTATATAATTTAATAACATTATAAAACAATAGAATAAAAAAGCATTACTTATTATAAACAACCTTTTGATATACAAATTAATTACGAATATTCTAATTAATATAGATAAGTTATATAATACAAAGATTATATGATTATTTTTAAATTTTATATTTAAATATTAACCTTTTAGTTAAAGTATTATATAAAATTAAAAGCTTTATTTATAATATCAATCTATTAGATTTATAGTTGAATACTTTAATAACAATTTGAACTATTTTAAAAAGCTTAATATTCTATAAATAATTCGATAGGGTATATTAGCTTAAACAGATATCAAAAGCTATATTATTTCAAATTGTTAGGATAAATTACAATGTATTAATCTAAAATTGTAATCTATAATATCATCAATAATATAACAAGGTTCTAAAAAAGCTTTAAAGTTTTTATACTTCACTTTAATATGTTTGAAGTATTAAGGCATCATAATTAGTATATCAAATATATAAGAATATATTTCATCTTATTTAGAATATATTATTAAGAATAACAATAATCTGGATATTCTAATTAATAATATTATTTAAACTAAAAAGATAATTAAGAAGAATAAAGAGGATGAAAAAATAGAAAGAGAAATAAAGCTTCCTATTAATTATTT